TGAGATCTGGGGAGAATAAACTATAGAACTGATTCAACTTACCTGCAATAGACTGATGATGCATGATCATTTGCCTGGAGCTTAAAGCAGAACTTCACTCTCTCAATCAAACTGACTACCAGGGGTGGACTGACCATTTGGGAACTCGGGCACTGCCCGAGGACCCAGGGTCAGTAGGGGGCCCCATGAGATGCCCCTGGTACCTTTTTCATAGGCTTTTTTGGGTGTGGTTTGGGTTTGGGCAAGGACACAGGAGCCCCATGATCCCCTATTGCCCGGGGGGCCCCATGAGTTGTCAGTCTGCCCCTGGTGACTTCTTTTAATCCTTATGCTAGCATTAGTAAATAGATAGGAAACTATATCATATTTACTTGTTTCAAATATTTTTCTACACTTCTTCAGTTACATCATGGTTTCCAGGCCTAGGCAAATTATGTCATGCATCCAGAGAGTCCTCAGGAGGGGAGGAGATGTTTTCTCAGCTAAGCAAACCCTCCTGCCTTCATGCCTGATCTAAGGGCAGATGAATTCCAGGAAGTAAATTCTAACTGAATCATCTGCCTTTACTTAAAGTGGACATTCACCCTCTTCCACTATGTCGCTCCACTCCAGCCCCTCCCTCTCCACTCAACAGGTATTCCATTGTGGTTTTTTGCTTCTTTTTTTTTACCTTGTTTTGTAAAATAGTCAGGCCTATTGGCGTGTCATTGGAGGGCTGGCCCGCTGTACTAGGAAGAGCTGGTGGGCCTGTCAATGATGTCAAAAAGAACTTGGCGGCATGGGACAGAGCTGTGGCTGGGTGTGAGAGGATCTTATTGGGACAACGCTGGATCCACTGGATCTGAAATCTGCACATACCACCTTAAAATGGAACTTCACTCTCTCAATCATCAAGGACTGTTTAATTCTTATGCTGCTAGCCAGGGCTTTATTTCTCAGAGAATAGGTGCAGGAACTCCCCCCTTCCGAGTCGCCCCTTTTCTCCGCCCCTACCAGTACCAACCCTTTTAGTATACTGTGAATACAGAACCAAGTGTAATTTTGTGGAATTTTCTAAAAACATAAAAAGCAGTAAAATAGATCCCCTGCTGCCAGCAACAAAAGCACCCCCAGCAACAACAGATCCTATCCAGCAATAATAGACCCTGGGTAGCAACAATAGATCTCCCAGCAACCAGCAACAACAGACCCCTCCCTCAACAGTAGATTCATCCCAGCAACAATTGACCCTTCAACAATAATAGACTCCTTCCTCATCAAGAGATCCCCCCACACCCAACAACAATAGATCCAACAGCATCAATAGACCCTCCAGCACACCTCAGCACCTCTTGCCATTTCATACATTCAGTGCTGGATGTCCCGTTAATAGCGTTCCCTCCCCCTGTTCCCGCTGAAAAAAAGCCCTGCTGCTCGCATTAGTAAATAGATAGAAAGGTATATTATATTTACTTGTTTTAAAAATGTGTTTTACATTTCTTCAGCTAATTCCTGGTTTCCTTTGGCAAATACATCCCAGGAGTCTTCAAGAGAGGAGGGAGGGTTCTCTACTCAGCCTGACCTAAGGGCAGATGGACTCCAGGAAGTAAATGCTACATGAATCATCTGCCCTTATTCAAGATGGCCACTGCCAAAAATACAAGGGGATTGTTTTTCAAAATGATTTCTCAGCAAAAATAAAGCATGGAGACAAGGATGGATATGTGAGTTTTCTTTAAATATCAAAAATGAATTAACCTCTACCCGCCCGGCCTATGGCCGAATGGCAGCCGGAAAAATCCTTTCCGGGTGGACGCCATATGGCATCCTTTCGGGCATGCACAATTTGTGGCGCAATCAGTCACCGGCCGTGTACCTCGGACATGGCTGATGACAGATCTGAGTACCAGCCCCGTTGCGAGGGGTACCATGTGACCTGCTGTGACCAATCACAGCAGGTCACATGACAGTTGTATACAATGGATGGCTTCATTCATGCCATCCATTGTATACTAGTGTGTCTAGCTGAGAATGGTCACAGTGATCACATGCACAAGCTGGGCCAATCACAGCCCAGCTGTGTCATGTGATTAGCCATGGCCAAATCACAGCTAAGCAACAAAAAAAAAAACCCTGAATGAATCAATGTCATTCAGGTAAAATGCTTGCTTATAGCAAAGAATTCTTTGCTATAAGCAAATTGTGTAAAAAAACAAACAAAAAAAACATACTGATCACTTCCCCAAAGTAGTACAATGTTACTATGGTAACATTGTACTACTTTGGTCATAGTGAAATATGAAAAAAAAGAAAAAAAAAAAGAAAAAAAAATGTAATAAAAAAATAAAAATAATAAAAATAAAAATAAAACTTAAAAAAAAATTATAATTGTTTTTTTTCATACTATTACCAGTCAGTGTCCCTGATCACCGCCATGCCAGTTATATGATGACACTGTATTGCACTGGTGACAGTATGTAAAAAAAAATAGTGAAAATAATTTTTTTTCATTTTTTCATTTTCCAAAAAATTATGACAAAAAAATACAACTTAAAAAAACTTGCCATGCCTCTTATGAAGTACGTCGGACTGTCTACTCTGCAAAAAGGGGTCATTTGGGGGATATCTGTACTATTCTGACATTCTTGGACCTCAAGAAATTAGATTGGCTGTCAGTACTTCAGGATTGATCAATATTCAGATCTTTACCATAGTTTGTGAACTCTATAACTTTCCTACAAACTAAAAAATACATCCTAATTTGGGTTATTTTCACCAAAGACATGTAGCAGAATACATCTTGGCCTAAATTTATGAAGAACAATTATTTATTTGCATGTTTTTTTTTCAAAATGCTTGGTCTTTTTTTGTTAATTTAGCAAAAAATAAAAACCCCAGTGGTGATTAAATACCACCAAAAGAAAGCTCTAATTGTGTGAAGAAAATGATAAATTTTTAGTTTGGGTACAATGTTGTATGACCGCGCAATTGTCATTCAAAGTGTGAGAGCGCTGAAACCTGAAAAATGGCCTGGGCAGGAAGGGGTAAAAGTGCCCGGTATGGAAGAGGTTAAATAGCATTTTTGGTTTGTGGTGCTTAGATGCAGCGCAGTTCCACTTTAAGATGAGCGGAGCTGAAAAAAAAACTGGTGTGAGTCGGGTGCTGGTCTGCTATAAGATGGATCTGGACAGAAATGCTAGGGGGTGTTTTTCAAAATGATTTCTCAGCAAAATAAAGCATGGAGACATGGATGGATGGGTGAGTTTGCCTTGAATAATAAAAATTAAATAAAAGGCGTATTTGGTTTGTGGTGCTCAGATAGTGTAGTTCCACTTTAACAATTGCTTTTTAATAGGAAAAGGTACAGCTTCTTTTAAAGTATATGGTTGCTGTATATTGTGACGTCAGGAATTTCTATGTGCAAATTTCACATTTATTGAAAAGTCCCCTTTAACAGTTCTGCATCGTGCCCAATAATTTCTAGGTAGTCTTTTGCTAAGTCTGAAGAAACTCCCCAGCTTACAATAAACACTTTATATAGTACATTGGGCACAAATCTGTGTTTTTGATTACTTATCTTGTATATTTTCCAAGAATAATAATTGTTTCCACTAAAAAATCCAAGTGTTCAATCATTTCACCATAAAGCATGTTATTTGACATACATTACAATGTTGCACAATTCTAACACCTTTTTAATGGCATTCGAATGACTCCACTATTTGTACATCTTGAAGTATTGCTGGGGGGTCCAATTTTGCTCATGCTTAGAAATGAAAAGAGTTCTGTCAAGCAGACACGTTCCACACAGGGTAAAGTGGTAATTACAATGTGCTATCCCCAGTAGGCAGGTCTTTGTTTATCTCTACATCATTATCACTATGGTGCTGCAATAGGCAGATCTCACTCTCTCTGGAATTCAATTTGTAAAAGGAATCTAGATCAGTGTTTCTCAACCTTTTTTCAGTCAAGGCACCTTTTAAAATTATGGACAGTCTTAAAGCATCGAATTATAAAATGGGGTGCCTCAAGACTGTCCATAATTTTGAAAGGGTACCCCATTCTACAATGTGAAAAACTATTCTACTTTTATATAACACAGCAACATTCATGTATGTAGGACACCCAACATTAGAGGTGATTTATTCTTCCAAAGCAAAAAAAAAACCTTTGCACACTGGTACTGACTAGTATTCCAATATTTCTCTTCTCCCTCAGTTTTTCTTCATCACTGAGCTAATGAGGGGAGGGGAGGGTCAAATTAGATGCTGTGCAGGCAACCGTCATCCTCCTTATCAACTGATGATGTCATGGGTTGTCAGGACTCTGGCGGCTAGAAGGTCGTAATGGTGCACAATGAAAACCTGTGGCTTTGTGTAACTAGAAGGCAGGCTTGTTCCACCCGCTGGCTTGTATGCAAGTTTTTGGCAATTTGTGGACATTTTGCCAAGGCACCCCTGAAGAAATCTCAAGGCACCCCAGGGCACCTGGGCACTCTGGTTGAGAAAGGCTGATCTAGATGAATGTAAAACATTTCTTTCATATGCTTTTCCATGTATGAAGAAGGGCCATTTCATTCCTGTTCAGGTGAACGAATGTGTATAGCCCAACACAAGACCATGAAAAGGTGTATTAGTTTAGTTAGCACACTGATCCACACATCATGGTAACATAAAGTCATAATAGGCAGGGTCGGTGCTAGACTATTTTGCACGTCAGGCAAAACCAGATACCTGCACCCCCCCCCCCTCAAAAAAAAAAAAAATACAAAATTTTTAAAAACAGTAGAAAATATTAAATCAACAAAACATGAAACTGCTAAATTTCTTTTAACTAGTTGCCGACCGCAGATAGCCGAATGACGGCTGCACTGCGGCCGGCAAGTTCTGGGTGGACGTCATATGACGTCCTCCCAGAACGCGCTCTCCTGCGCGCCCCAGGGGGCGCGCACCCGGCGATCTCCCTGATCGCTGTGTCCTACGGACACAGCTGATCACGTGATGTGGTAAAAGGCCAATCATACCGGCCTTTTACCACGTGATCAGCGGTGTCCAATGACACGCTGATCACAGGGAAATGCAAGTGCCGGTTCTCGGGTGCACTTTCCTCACGCTGTCAGATCGTGAGGAAAGTACTGCCGAGAACCGGCAGTTGTCAGAGCGGTGCCCAGCAGTGCCACCCACAAGTTCCACCCACCTGGGCCCAGCAGTGCGCCCACTAGCTCCGCCCACCTGTGCCCAGCAGATCACCCACCTGTGCCCAGCAGTGCACCCACCTGTGCCCAGCAGTGCACCCACCTGTGCCACTCTGCAGTGTCACACACCTGTGCCCAGAAGTGCCACCTACCTGTGCCCAGCAGTGCCACCCACCTGTGCCCACCCACCTGTGCCCACCAGTGCCACCCACCTGTGCCCACCCACCCAGTGCTGTGCCCACCCACAGTGCCACCCACCAGTGCAGCCCAGCAGTGCTGCCAGTCAGTGCCACCAGTCAGTGCCCAGCGGTTGTGCCAGTCAGTGCCGCCAGTCAGTTCCCAGCAGTGATGCCAGTCAGTGCCGTCTATCAGTACCCATCATCAGTGTCACCTATCAGTGCCGCCTATCCGTGACACCTCATTAGTGCTGCCTATCAGTGCCGCCTATCCGTGCCACCTCATTAGTACTGCCTATCAGTGCCCTTTAGTGCTGCCTATCAGTGCCATCAGTGCCGCCTATCAGTGCCCATCAGTGCCGCCTCATCAACGCACATCAGTGAAGGAGAAAAATTACCTGTTTGAAAAATTTTATAATAGAAACAAAGAAACTTTTTTTTTTTCAAATTGTTTGCATTTTTTAATTTATAGCGCAAAAAGTAAAGCGCCCAGTGGCGATTAAATACCACCAAAAGAAAGCTCTATTTGTGAGAAAAAAAATGATCAAAATTTCATATGGGTACAATGTTGCATGACCGCGCAATTGTCAATCAAAGTGCGGCAGCGCTGAAAGCTGAAGATTGGCCTGGTAAATAAGGGGGTATAAGTGCCTGGTAGGCAAGTGGTTAATTTCCAAAAATATGTGCCATAAGATGCCACCAGCACTAGTATTAAAGAGAAAATCAGTGTCACTGTATCTGTGACTGACAGTGGCAGGGTGACAGTTACAGTGAGTGGAGGATGATGGATCCACACTCTGGCAGATCCCAGGCTGGAATTCCACAGGCAATGGGGGGAGATAAAATCCAGGCAGCCCAGCCCACACAAGAGAACACCTGAACTGAACGATCAAACACAGTGACAGATCGGACCCAACACACCACCACCAGCACTGTCACAGATCAGCAGGCCCAGCAGGCACTAGAAGAGCAGGCTCTGGGATTGTGATGATGTAATCATCCACCGACACATTACACATGTGACAGATGGCCGGCCAGGTCACACTCACACAGACATCAGAGTCAGACATTACCTTCCTCCGCAGGTGCAGCTCTACCTCTGCTGACGAATGGGAAGAGAAGGGCTGGAACTCCACCAGCTGGCTTGCAGTAAGGGACTGAGTCTGAGAGGAACACTGGAAGGTGCGGCAGCTCAGCTGCTACACTGGCCCCAGACACCCGGCATCTCCCTCTGTCCTTTCTTCTTTCCCTCTGCTCCCCTCCCCTCAGCTGAAGGATCATTCATGATATGGTGGCATCCCACACAGAGGGGTGCTGGCCTGTGCTGTGTCCAGATGCCCCTAGTTTGCCTAGTGGAAGCACCGGCCCTGCATATAGGCTCATTTACACTTTGTAACAATATTCCAAGCCAGGTTAGAATGAGACATACAGAAACTGTTCTGTGCAAAAAAGGTGAACCTTAGGGCCTATTCATACTAACAGGACACATGTTATGCTGTGTTTAAAGCATAAAGCTACTACTGACATGTCGCATTTCATTTCACTTCATGCACCACAATGCTTTTTGATTTGGTATAATGCTGTGCAACATGCTGCACTGCATAAAACTGTCCTACCTTTTTTTCTGAGCCATTGGTGTGAGCTGAAACAAGACATAAGGCACAATGCCTGTAAACTCACCTTAGCGCTAGGTGCGTTTAGTGCTTGAGCATCAATTCACTTCAGTGGCCAGACTAAATGATTATTCTAGCTAATGAAATAAATTACTTCCCAAACGCTTGATCAGCCTAAACTCGTTACATGCATTTACAAATGTCAAGTGTTTTTTCTGCCAAAATGCTGCTGCCAGAAAGAAAAGCTTTTAGGAGAGTTTGCAAAACATCCAGTGTGCATGAGGCCTTAAAGGAAACCTGTGCTAGGAGAAATCTGTGGACTGCCATTGCTCACCTGCTTTTCTGAACAGGCTTAACCATAATTTATATAAAAAACTCCAGTGCCACAGAAGATTCCCAAACAAGGTATGAACTGCTGCTGTACACTAGTGTAACACACCAAATAACATAAAACAATATAAACAGCGCAAATCAAAAACTCAAAATCATATAAATAATAATAACTTCAAATAATAAGTGCAACAAAATATGAATATACATATAAATATGAATAAAAAATAAAAATTATTTATATGTATATTCATATTTTTTCACTTATTATTTCAAGTTATTATTATTTATTTGATTTTGGGTTTTTGATTTGCACAGGTTTAACCATAGGCTTCAGCCTTCAACTGTCAAAAGACAGCGCAGTCGTCTAGTTCTGGAGGGTGTCCAAGGACGTCCTCCCAGAAACCCGCCCCCTGCGCATCCACGGGGGGAGAGCATCAGGTGCGCTCTGTGACTGCTGTGTTCTTTGGACACAACTGATCACAGATCAGGGTAAAGAGCCAATCACAGCTGTCTTTTACCAGGTGATCAGCTGTGTCCAATCGCAGCTGATTACATGCAAACAGACTTGCCGGTTATCAGCAGTCCTTTCCTCACACGCCATGTATGTATGAGGAAAGGAGAACTGATAATTGGAAGACTGTCAGTACATGGTTTACACTGATAATCAGGGTACTGATCATCAGTGGCCTGATTATCAGTGCAGCCCCATCAGTGGCCATCAGTGCAGCATATCAGTGCTTATCAGTTCCCATCAGTACAACCTCATCAGTGCCTCCTCATCAGTGCCCATCAATGCAGCTTATCAATGCCCATCAGTGCAGCCTCATCAGTACCCATTAGTGCAGCATCATCCATGCCCATCAGTGCAGCATCATCAGTGCCCATCAGTGCAGCCTCATCCATACATATCAGTGCAGGTTCATCAGTGCTTATTAGTGCTCATCAGTGCAGCCTCATCAGTACCCATTAGTGCAGCCTCATCCATGCCCATCAGTGCAGCATCATCCATACATATCAGTGCAGCCTCATCAGTGCTTATCAGTGCCCATCAGTGCAGCCTCATCAATGCACATTGGTGAAGAAGAAAAATTCATATTTTGCAAAACTTTATAACAGAAACTAAAAAAAACGTGTTTTTTTTCAAATTTTTTTCATTTGTTTAACAAAAAAAATATATATAAAAAACAGAAATGATTAAATACCACCAAAAGAAAGCTCTATCTGTCTTAAAAAAATGATAAAAATGTCATATAGGTGCAGTGTTAGATGACCGCGCAATTGTCACTTAAAGTGCAACAGCACTGAACACTGAAAATTGGCCTTCGCAGGAGGGGGGTAAAAGTGTCAGTAATTAAGTGGTTAATCACTGAAACAAACTCTAAGGCTAGGTTCACACCTATGCAGATTGCGTTTGAGCTGTTTCTGCATTGCACTTTGCGTTTTTGCCACGTTTTTGATGCCTTTTGCATGGTTTTTTTTTTCATTTTTTTTATTTTTCTTGTTGCTATGCAGATGTATGGTTTTCTGCAGCATTTCCATTGGAGTCTATAGAACCTAAAACGCAACCTTTTTCATTCAAAATAGTCTCTGACCCTTTCCAAAAAACGCGCTGGGTAAAAACGCGCAGATGTCAACATGTCCCATAGGAAATCATGTTAAATGGACTGTATTGCGTTTCAGCAAAACACTGCAGAAAACGCTTAGGTGTGAACCTAGGGTAGATTAGGAGTTCTGACTCCTGATTTCACTTGCTGGGTACTTGTTCACTTGCTATAGCCATGTTAGATCTATTTAGAGAGATATAAATGGTATTGTATTATAATTTACAGCAGTAAAGTCTCATGTTCTGGCATGGAAAATGGAAAATAAAACATGCCTACTTTATTAGTATAATCCTTTTTGGTTAGTGACAGGGGCGGACTGACCATTTGGAAACTCTGGCACTGCCCGAGGGCCCGGTGTCAGTAGGGGGCCCCCGAGATGCCCCTGGTACCTTTATCATAGGCTTTTTTGAGTTTGGGCAAGGACACAGGGGCCCCATGATCCCCTATTGCCTGGGGGCCACATGAGTTGTCAGTCCGCCCCTGATTAGTGATGTGTGACACTGTGAGTAATGCAAAGTGGCAAATGTCATATTCCCCAGACTGAACTCACAGCTTTAGCTTCTGGTTTTAAAGATAATGCTTCACAAAGGGGAAGTTCACTGACTATGTGCTATGATATGTTTACATCTAAATGACAAGTATTCAAGTCAGTAATATTATATCTGTGATGACAAGTAAACTGACATTTGTACTATGCAAATATTGAATGGATCCTATTTTCATTGTCTGGTTAATATTTTATGTTTGAAATCATGATTTGCTGAATGGGTCGCTCTCAGGAGCTCAGTGAATTCAAGTGTGGTACCGTGATAGGTTCCCACCTATGCAATAAGTCCATCCGTGACATTTCCTTGCTACTAAATATACCACAGTCAGCTGTTAGTGGTATTATAACAAAGTGGAAGCAACTGGGAACAACAGCAACCAAATGGTAGGCCACCTAAAATGACAGACGGGTCAGTGCATGCTAAAACGCATAGTGAGCAGAAGACGCCAACTGTCTGCAGAGTTAATGACTAAAGACCTCCAAACTTCATGTGGCCTTCAAATTGGCACAGCAACAGTGCATAGAGAGCTTCATGGAATGGGTTTCTATGGCCGAGCAGCTGCATCCAAGCCTTATATAACCAAGTGCAATGTAAAGCGTTGGATGCAGTGGTGTAAACCACGCCGTCACTGGACTCTAGAGCAGTGGAGATGTGTTCTCTGGAGTGATGGATCACACGTCTCTGTCTGGCAATCCGATGGACATGTCTGGGTTTGGCAGTATTTACCTGACTGCATTGTGCCAAGTGTAAAGTTTGGGGGAGGGGGGATTATGGTGTGGGGTTGTTTTTCAGGGGTTGGGCTTGGCCCCTTAGTTCCAGTGAAGAAAACTCCTAAGGCATCATCATACCATGACATTTTGGACAATTTCATGTTCCCAACTTTGTGGGAACATTTGGGGATGGCCCCTTCCTGTTCCAACATGACTGCGCACCAGTGCACAAAGCAAGGTCCATAAAGACATGGATGAGGGGGTTTGGGGTGGAGGAACTTGACTGGCCTGCACAGAATCCTGACCTCAACTGGATAGATCACCTTTGGGATGGATTAGAGCAGAGACTGCAAGCCAGGCCTTCTCGTCCAATATCAGTTCCTGACCTCACAAGTGCACTTTTGGAAGAATGGTCAAACATTCTTATAGACACACTCCTAAACCTTGTGGACAGCCTTTACAGAAGAATTGAAGCTGTTATAGCTGCAAAGGGTGGGCCAACTCAATATTGAACCCCACGGACTAAGACTGGGATGCCATTAAAGGTGACTTGCGTGTAAAGGCAGGTGTCCCAATTCTTTTGGCAATATAGTATATATATATATATATATACATATATTTTGCGCAGGTGGCAACCTATCACGGTACCACACTTGAATTCTCTGAGCTCCTGAGAGCGACCCATTCTTTCAAAAATAGTTGTAGAAGCAGTCTGCATGCCTAAGTGCTTGATTTTATACACCTGTAGCCATGGAGGAGGTGATTGGAATACCTGAATCCAACGATTTGGAGGGGTGTCTCAATGCTTTTGGTAATATAGTGTGTGTGTGTGTGTGTGTGTGTGTGTATATATATATATATATATATATATATATATATATATATATATATACACAGGTGAAACTCAAAAAATTTGAATATCATGCAAAAATTCATTTATTTCAGTAATGCAACTTAAAAGGTGAAACTAATATATGAGATAGACTCATTACATGCAAAGCAAGATAGTTCAAGCTGTGATTTGTCATAATTGTGAGGATTATGGCTTATAGCTCATAAAAACCCCAAATCCACAATCTCAGAAAATTAGAATATTGTGAAAAGGTGCAATATTCTAGGCTCAAAGTGTCCCCACTCTAATCAGCTAATTAAGCCATAACACCTGCAAAGGGTTCCTGAGCCTTTAAATGGTCTCTCAGTCTGGTTCAGTAGGAATCACAATCATGGGAAAGACTACTGATCTGACAGTTGTGCAGAAAACCATCATTGACACCCTTCATAAGGAGGGAAAGCCTCAAAAGGTAATTGCAAAAGAAGTTGGATGTTCCCAAAGTGCTGTATGAAAGCACATTAATAGAAAGTTATGTGGAAGGGAAAAGCGTGGAAGAAAAAGGTGCACAAGCAGCAGGGATGACAGCAGCCTGGAGAGGATTGTCAGAAAAAGGCCAGTCAAAAGTGTTGAGGACTTTCACAAGCAGTGGACTGAGGCTGGAGTCAGTGCATCAAGAGCCACCACACACCGACGGATCCTGGACATGGGCTTCAAATGTCGTATTCCTCTTGTCAAGCCACTCCTGAACAACAAATAACATCAGAAGCGTCTTACCTGGGCTAAAGAAAAACAGACTTGGTCTGTTGCTCAGTGGTCCAAAGTCCTCTTTTCTGATGAGAGCAAGATTTTCATCTCATTTGGAAACCGATAACCCAGAGTATGGAGGAAGAATGGAGAGGCACACACTGCAAGATGCTTGAAGTCCAGTGTTTCCACAGTCTGTGTTGATTTGGGAAGCCATGTCATCTGCTGGTGTTGGTCCACTGTGCTTAATTAAGTCCAGGGTCAACGCAGCCGTCTACCAGGAGATTTTGGAGCACTTCATGCATCCTGGTCTTCCATAACACCTCAGCAGTGCCACAGGCTGATAGCTTCCATGCCATGCCACATTGAGGCAGTAATTGCTGCAAAAGGGGCCCAAACCAAGTATTGAGTACATATGCATGCTTATACTTTTCAGAGGTCCGATATTGTTCTATGTACAATCCTTGTTTTATTGATTGCATGTAATATTCTAATTTTCTGAGATTGTGGATTTGGGGTTTTCATGAGCTGTAAGCCATAATCATCACAATTATGACAAATCATGGCTTGAACTATCTTGCTTTTGCATGTAATGAGTCTATCTCATATATTACTTTCACCTTTTAAGTTGCATTACTGAAATAAATGAACTTTTGCACAATATTCAAATTTTTCGAGTTTCACCTCTATATATATATAGATATATATACACACACATCTAAATATCTTCTTTTCTTTTTTATAAGTGATCTCTGTTCACAGCTATATAAGGGGCTTCGAGAGGTAGGGGTGGAAAATAGCAGTACACTGATCTCCTCAGTGAATGGGTTGGTTGCGCAGTGGGCATGTCAGCACAATTCTGATCATTGGAGGGCAGGCAGGCTATGCTCCCAGCACAGCCAGAATACTGACCACACTGGGATGGATGTGCTATTACACCTAATGTGGTCAGTTTGAAAAAGGAAAGCAAGGGGACTTGCTGGAATACCAGGAATTATACACAAAGTGAACAATACAAAGAGAACAGGATACTTTTTAACACAAAAACGTGGTACAACAGACACATATCAGGAATATGAAATGCTGGGGTAACATTCTTTATAGCCCAACTATGTGACACATAAATTACCTTTTTAGTGGGGCCCCTACACACTGCAAGGCTTAAATGCTTATAATGTCAAAGGGAAGTGGAATATGCTTGTAATACATATTTTATTCCTCAATACGGCAGGCTTCCTCTGTCTGTGTGATCACTTCTTTGAAGCCTATTCTCTAAGGCTCTGTGACTGTCATGAAGTTCAATGCAGGGCCAATAGCTGCCCATTGTACATGAGGAGGACTATCAACAGCCTTAGAGTGCCGAATTCTGCTGAAGTGATGAATAAAGTATTACACCTTATAGCTCAACTCACTAGATTTTTTGAGCATTTAACTCTTGCAGAGCGCATGGCCCCACTGCATGGGTAAGATTTGCGTAGTTCCAGTGTTTTCAGCTATTTTTTTTGTGCATATGTTTGAAGCTTCTTCCCTGGGGATCCTGCCAGTAACAGGACAACGTCCCGTTGCAGGCTGACAACGCTAAACTACTACCTCGCAAATACTTGCAATTGTTACTCTGTCATGTGGGCTTCTATAGCTGGCCATTGGGCTTACCATGTGGTAGACCTTATAGGCAAGCCTACCGGGCAATCAAAGAAGATTGTATGGAAAAGCTGTTGCTTATTGTGTGGCAGTGGCTCAGCATTATTAGACTGCAACAGGGGGTATTGCTACTGAGGAGGTATTAACATTGAAACAAATTCACACATACTAAAACATTTAAAATATTAAGGCTGCCATTGCTAACCTCCTAGTGAAAACATTAGCGGTGGTCTGCCATGATGGTCCAGTGGCTTCAATCACTACTTAATCATGGACCCAGAATATGTATGCTTGTTCCAGGGCACTGACTCAGCCAAGGTCAAGGACAGTCTAGCAGTTGGATTTTCACAAGGAAGTCAGCATACAGTATGTCTCTCAGCACAGGTTTCCTTTCTTACAAAAATTAAGTTGAGCAACACACCATGTGTAATCTGTCCAGATAAGTCATGAAGGATGGCTCTTTGCAACACAACTGTGTGCAGTTATGAGCAACAAATAAAAAATACACTCTGCTGTTGAATTTATAGAAATCTTGCCTGCCATCCATCATGAATTATTCATTTCATGAAAATTAGGTTTCATAGGGTTTTATACAGGATTAAATGCAAGAAATATCCTCCATATAATCTCCACTGTTTAATTGCTTCTGAAACAATGCAAAAATTGAGAAAAGGCATGTTTCGCTAATAAATGTGCTTTGAATTTTTTCAGTTGATAGTTTAGCCAGTTCAAATTTTAGATGAAATTAAGAAATGAGATCTGGATTTGTAAAGGTTGAGGTAGCACCAGCAGCAGGTAGTAAGCCCAGCAGCGGCAACAACAATGGATTGCATATACGTCTGTATATATTCCAATATCTATTCCTTATGTGTGTTTGATAAAACAGACACCAACAAAAAAATGTTGTTGCTTTGCTAGATAAACAAATGACCATATGTTTCACAGGAACTTACAATTTATATGGTGCTGCTGGGCTGGATCGTAATGAAATTGTGGGATTGTTTTTTTAAGGCAAATAGATTGTGCACTTTGCAAGTGCAGTTGCTTAGTAAATTAGGTGAAGCTTCACTTTACAAATTCACATTACCCAATCAAACGCAAAGGAAAATAAAAACAGCTTATTTGCCTGCACATGATTGGATGATAGAAGTCAGCAGATAATCAATAATAAAAACAGTGCAGAGCTAACTATATAACATCATGATGGGAAGAAATATAAAAATCTGATTAATGATAATAATCTCAATAATTACAATATAAAAATCATACATCCAATGGTGCAATAGGGTGACCCAATCATGAGATCATGAGATGGAATGAATCACAATAGACTAGACGTGACCCCAATCCCACTCACTAATGTGAATAGTGAGCATTAAATCAGTATCATAAGTGAAAAAGGTCCATACATAAGATAATGGTGCTCCACTCCATGCGATAAAAATAATGCAAGTGATCACACAATATGCTTCAAGTGATGGTGAGTGATAATTCTCCTGTGGCTAAATTGCCCCCTCACCTCCACTCTGCGGCCCAAAAGGACCTACACGCCTTTAAGATCACTCAGGATCTTGATCCACACAATGACAGATATCACCAGCTGCTTTCCTATGGACCTCTCATCTGTAAGGTAGATTCAGGATAGACTGGCTCTTGGTCTCAGCAGGATATACCTCTCACCCGGATGATATAAACACAGGAAGAATCTCACATAGCGTAATATGCCACAAAACTATGTGCTTTTATTAAGGTAAAACAATTAGCAACTCACATGCTAAAAAGCGATCCACAACTCCATGAAGTCAGCAGAGCTTTTCTCATTT